AGTAAAACATATGAGTAACCTCCTCAGAGTCTCATGTTGAAATTCTCTTTCTGATAAATATGATGTACTTGTTCTTATAAAATTGAGAATGGAAATGGGGAATATGTCAAAGAGACAACAACCCGACCAAAAAGCAGACAACAGCCGCAGGCCATCATATCCTTATTTTTGGAATAAGTGGTCAAAAACACATCACCATTGTGAGCAAACACAGAAATTACATCTGGACCAATCATATTGGTTTTTCAACTAGTATCCCATGATGCATCACAATTTTATAATAAACTTTGCATTCAAATTAAAAACACATCAGCGTATAATGAGCCCATACAGAAATTCAACTTTTGTACTCATTACTCAAGTTGAATTTCTGTGTCAACCTCCTCATGAATTGCATCTGGACTAATTATATTTTTAAAACAGTAGTGTCCCACGATGCATCATTTTATGACTGTTTCCATTTCAGCTGTCAGAGATTGTGAGAGAATTTAAATCAGCAAACAGACTACTGTTGACAGGAACACCTCTACAGAATAATTTACATGAGTTATGGGCCTTGTTGAACTTCCTGTTGCCTGATGTTTTCAATTCAGCAGATGATTTTGATTCTTGGTTCTGTGCTAAAGACTGTCTGGGTGGAGACAATGAATTAGTATCACGTTTACATGAAGTAAGATCAGATATGAAAACTATTTTTAGGGGAAATTGCTTAATCTTAGTAATAATATTTTTTGTGAAATTGGGGAACTTTCAACAAATTGTCGGTCCTATTATAATCACAATTATTTGAAATATGTGTACTAAGTTTAAAACTGTTATGCAATAAAAATAATGAAGGTGAAATGAATCAGTGCATACTTTTATTTTTCAAACAAAGAAATATTTTAAATACGTGAAAAATATCATTGTGTGATTTAAATTTTAAACTAAAAAATCGATTTTAACACTTTCATAAATACCACCATATAATTATCTCTTGTACTTTTTTCAAACGTAATAAATCTTTTGAAACTTTCATGTATGATAATAAAAAAATCATTTTTTTGGGGCTTTAGAAGTTTCATCTGTTTTAAAGTTGCCTGTCATAACAAGTCAATACCTATTTTTTGTTTGCAGGTTTTGAGACCATTTTTATTGAGAAGAATAAAGTCTGATGTTGAGAAAAAATTACTTCCCAAGAAAGAAACAAAAGTATTTATCGGACTTAGTAAAATGCAGAGAGAATGGTAATTTCATATTTACTGGCTTTAATTTTTGGTTATCAACATTAAGCATATGTTGTCTGTCATGTGTTTGCATTTCTTTTAAGACAAGTTAAGCTCATTTGCATCAGATATTCATTAGATAATAGTGTTTATGATTTGGTGATCCTCATGTAGTATGTATTGCGTGCTTATAATGTTTTGGGTGGCATAAAAGGTGGCACTAGTTTAAAGTCTTTCATCCTTTCAGCTTTCAAAATCAGTTGAATTTACTTATGTAAATAGTGTCGTTATTGTGTCAGAAAAAGGTCACCAAAAAAAGGCATTTTCCTAGCATTCCTATATTTTCAACTCAAAAATTCTGTCCCCTCGATCATTAATTTTCATAGTATAAAAACTCATCATAGATACCAGGATTGGAATTTTGTATTTGAGCCAGATGCGTGTTTGTTCTACGAAAGACTCATCAGTGACGCTAGAATAAAAAAATTGTTAAAAAAAAGCCAAATTAAGTACGAAGTTGAAGAGCATTGAGGACCAAAAAATCCTTAAAGCTTTGCCAAATACAGCTAAGGTAATCTATTTCTGAGGTAGAAAAGCCTTAGTATTTAAAAAATTCAAAGTTTTGTAAACAGTTAATTTATAATTATGACCATATCAATGATCATGTCAACACAGAAGTGCTGACTACTGGGCTGGTGATACCATAAGGGAATAAAAACTCCACCAGTATACCATCAGAAATAGCTCAGACTTGTTGATAAATTATATATTATATTCTGTGTTTGATAATGAATCAACCCCTTGTGATAACACCATTTTGAAAACTGAAAATTTTTCCAAGCTTGGCAAAAGAAGGAACCTGCATGGTAACGGTTTATTCTGATTGAATTTTAAGATAAAAACAAACAATTATTAAAAAATCTTGCTAATTGATGCTGAACAGAAGGTTGTCAAAGTTTCCAGTTTGTCATTTGACATCCACGCCTTGAATGCAACCACACCACTCTCTTATAATCCTCTAGTTTAAATAGATAGTTTAAAAGTCAAATTCATTTCTGAAGTAATATTTATATTGTGACATCTTGTGACTATTTTGTTTTGAAAAATGTACAATGAATAACTTTTTAAAGAAAAAGGGGTAAAAGGATGTATTTATAAGAATTTTTATATTGACAGAGGCAACAAGCTGAGGTTAATCTGATTTTATATAAAAAAAATAATCAATTCCAATAAAAATGCATTGATTATTATGATTATGTTTTCAGACACTATTTGTCTCTTTATGTTTCAAATCATTATTTATCAAGATTTTTCTTTAAATCAGCGTTTAAACATTTTACTGCGATTTTAACATAGCCTTTTATCATAAAATTACATTTGGGGTCGTCAACCGATCAGAAAATTCAGCATGTGGATCCATATAATTGTAAACATTTATCGGTGTGAGCTAAGGCTCCGTGTTGAAGACCGTACTGTGACCTATAATGGTTTACTTTTATAAAGTTTGACTTGGATGGAGAGTTGTCTCATTGGCACTCATACCACATCTTCCTATATCTATATATATATGCATCCAATTCAAATTTTCAGGTACACCAAAATTTTGATGAAGGACATAGATGTTGTGAACGGAGCAGGGAAGTCTGACAAGATGAGATTACTCAACATACTTATGCAGCTGAGAAAGTGCTGTAATCATCCATACCTGTTTGATGGAGCTGAACCAGGTTTGATTTTTTACTTACTATTTAAATTTTGATCTGAATGTTGTTTGATAAGACCATATGATGTGGGACCCTTGGAAGGGACTTTTTTTCAAATCTCATCTATGGATGAGATATAAAAAAGAAGTTGTGGTATGATTGCAAATGAGACAACTCTCCACAAGAGACCAATTGACACAGAAATGTACAACTATAGGTCACCATACGGTCTTCAACAATGAGCAAAGCCCATACTGCATAGTTAGCTATACAAGGCCCAGAAATGAGAGTTTTGTACAATGAAAATGTAAGCATATTTAAAAATTGCCTCTTTAGATTGTTGTCTCATTTTCCAAGTGCCTCCCTGGGTATATGTTCTATGTATGTTTAATAGGGACATACCTGAGTTGTTATGGTGGTTTCCTCATACCAAAATACCAGATTTGGACTTTGTGAACACACAATTTTTTCCAGGATTTTGACAATTTAAAATTATATTTTTTTTAATTTAAGAAATTGCAGACCTACCGACACTATTCATTTTTAGGATGGAATTTGAACCATACATACATGTATATTTTAATTTGGCCTTATACCTCATTGAGACAGAAATTATACCACACAAATCAATTATGAGGATTCAGATGGACTGCTTGACTTCTCTTGAAATTAATTCATTAGTGTTATTTAACACAACAAATTCATCATCTACATTATATGCTTAGGCTCTATTATTATTGACCCCATATCTAAGCAACCAGGTTAGAATATATTTTCAAAGTAAAGCTCCCCCCAAGGGTGACTGGGGAATAGAAGTATGGTCACCATTGGTCTTCCTCGGACAGGCAGTAAAACCCTTGCTTAAGTGGGGCGTCCGTTTGGCTGTGCGAGATGTACAAATTTGCAGTCACATCCGGTCAGAATGGGGACGTTAAATCCGATGCCTCGTGTAAAGAGAGTGCCACGCTCTTTGCACGTTAAGAACCCTTGCAACAACTCTTTGAGGGGTCCGTAGGTGACCTGTTGCAAGGCTAAATTTCTGTCCCTATCCAATATACCCTCATTTCCCGTGGCAGTCTAAATTTCTCCGACCTTAATCCTGGAAGCCCCTATTACAGAACCTACCTATTGTATTTATTGTTAATTTGTTTTCGTCCTGAATATGCATGAAATATTTGCCACTGGACGTTAAGCAACCAACAATCAATTAAAGTAAAGCTAGTCTGATTTTTTTCTGCGATTGGAGGGTGTGGAGGTGAGTTTAGAGCATCCATGTTCTTCGAACAGTAAAATAACAAAAAATACAGAACTCCAAGGAAAATCTAAATTAGAAATTCCCTTATCATATGGCAAAATCTAAAGCTCAAACACATCAAACAAATGGAAATCAACTTATATTCGTGAATTGGTACAGGCATTTCTTTAAGTAAAAAATAATTGATTAAACCTGGTTTTATAGCTAGCTAAATTTCTCACTTGTATGACAGTCACATGAAATTCAATTAAATTGGCAACAATATGTGAACAAATCTATCTATCTATCTATAGACTTAATACATGCAGGTAAAATAACAAAAATAGGGGTAGAGCAGTTAACGTTGTTATTATCGTAATAATCAAATAAATTTTTATCAGCTTTATAATAGTATTTTGATGTTTACATTGTTTTTCAGTATGGCATAAATGTTTATTTTTTATTTTTTCCAGGTCCACCCTACACAACTGACATGCACTTAGTAGAAAACAGCGGTAAAATGGTCATCTTACACAAATTGTTGCCCAGGCTGAAGGAAAATGGTATGATATAGACAGCTACAAGAAACTACAGATTATTTTTTAGTGCACAAACCCACTGTTTTAACACCACCCCTTATTTAAGAAATGTCTATTCTTCAATATATTGTTTATTGCAACTTCTTACTTATTTCATCAAGATACCTGACAGAAATGGTAAAAAATGTGTTCTATGACAGAATTTTTGCCGAGCCTGCGACTTTTGTCGCAGAAAGCATGACATAGGGATAGTGATACGGCGGCGGCGTTAGCTTACTTCTTAAAAGCTTTATATTTTAGAAGGTAGAAGACCTGGATGCTTCATACTTTGTATATAGATGTTCATGTTACGAAGTTTCTGTCTTTCACATGTCCATTGTCCTTGACCTCATTTTCATGGTTCAGTGACTACTTGAAAAAAAAGTTAATATTTTTTGTAATGTTAATATCTCTCTTATTATGAGTAATAGGATAACTATATTTGGTATGTGCATACCTTGCAAGGTCCTCATGCCCGTCAGACAGTTTTCACTTGACCTCAACCTCATTTCATGGATCAGTGAACAAGGTTAAGTTTTGGTTGTCAATTCCATATCTCAGATACTATAAGCAATAGGTCTAGTATATTCGGTGTATGGAAGGACTGTAAGGTGTACATGTCCAACTGGCAGGTGTCATCTGACCTTGACCTCATTTTCATGGTTCAGTGGTCATAGTTAAGTTTTTGTGTTTTGGTCTGTTTTTTTATACTGTATGCAATAGGTCTACTATATTTGGTGTATGGAATGATTGTAAGGTGTACATGTCTAGATGGCAGGTGTCATCTGACCTTGACCTCATTTTTATGGTTCAGTGGTCAAAGTTAAGTTTTATAGGTTTTGATCTTTTTTTCTAATACTATATGCAATAGGTCAACTATATATGGTGTATGGAAATATTTTATGATGTACATGTCTGTCTCGCAGGTTTTATTTGACCTTGACCTCATTTTACGGTTCATTGCTCAGTGTAAAGTTTTTGTGTTTTGGTCTGTTTTTCTTAAACTATAAGCAATAGATCAACTATATTTGTTGTATGGAAGAATTGTAAGCTGTACATGTCTGCCTGGCATGGTTCATCTGACCTTGACCTCATTTTCATGGTTCATTGGTCAATGTTTAGTTTGCTTGGATAAGTCTGTTCCTTAGAAATTATAAGCAATAGGTCAACTATATTTCGTGTATTAAATGATTGTAAGGTGTACATGTATTTCTTGTTTGGTTTATATGACCTTGACCTCATTTTCTTGGATCATGTTTAGTTTATGTGATAGTTGTAGTAAAGCTTTATATTTAGGACTATCATCATATCAATGATTAGTAAAGAAGGCGAGACATTTCAGCGTGTGCACTCTTGTTAAAAAGCACCATGGATGTTAATGTAGCATTTGTTTTCCCAAAATATAGCACCATGACCCCTATATATTCTATAATATAATCATTCAAGATAGCAACATGGTAGAAAATATAGCACCAGGGTAACATAGTGCTTTAAGGCCCTTGGGAGAACAATGGATTACATCTGACTGTAGCCAAACTTTGTAAAAACAACGTTATTTTAGTTATAGCTATTTTACGAAATTTTCCTTTGATTTTACTGACTGATAGTTTCCTTTCTCAGCCAGTTGAGTGATATGAAAAATAATGGCTAGAAACTAAGGATGCAGGTGCTGTTGTCACTGAAATTAACAATGTAGTCATAGGTAAAATAGCTATAAACACATTATCATTGGGTCATCTCAGCTCCATTGCTTTTCTCACTTTTGGTCGTTAAGGCTCAATGAGAAAATCAATCTCGTTGAGATGACCAACAATAATCTATAAATATGGTTCCCATTACAAATAAAAAGTTCTGACGTACAGATTTGATATATTTGGTAAGAAAACCATTAACATGCATATTTTTTTGGGGCCTAGAAAAAACTGAATTTGTATCTCTATTGTATTTCAGGATCTCGAGTACTGATCTTCAGTCAAATGACGAGACAGTTAGATATATTAGAAGATTACTGTTTCTGGCAGGGATATGATTACTGTAGACTGGACGGAAGTACTCCTCATGATGAAAGAACGGTAAAAATAGTTTGACATTTTATATGTTTGATCCAAAACTTATTTTTCTGCTGTAATACTATGAGTAAGAAATCAAGAAAAACTGTTGCGCTTTTTTGTGAATTGATATAAAAACGATGGGGTGGGTAGCTGTGATATTTTCATCCTATTTTTCACAGGATTTTGATAAAGGATTATGTAATTTTATTGCAACTTTTATGTAAGCATGCTATATTGTGTGATGTGTTTTCACATCCATTGCTTATGAGTGCCTATTTTTTGAATACTTAGTGTGGATATCATTAGTGAACAACAAAATCTGTGGTTTCATGGTAGCTTGTTTGCTGCCTGGAGTATGGTAAGTCGTGGGTTGAAATCCCAACTGTGTCAAACCATAGACTTTAAAATTGGTTTTTGCTGCTTTGTCAGCTAAGCGCACAGTATTAAGGAGTAAGAGGAAAGACTGGATCTGAGTCAGAATAATATGTCTGGATAGGGTGCCATATCTTCCTGGGGACTGTTAACTTGTGATCTAGCACGTCTAAAATCTGACTCAGCGTGTCAGTCTAGTACAAAGCAGGGTTAATACTCATATGACATTAACATGTTCTCGTCCTGAATATGCGTTATGTTTGCAACTGGATTTCTTGTTTGAAGATCTGTATTACATGTGCTCTATAAATACATTTCTTTACTTAAATTAAATCAATTTTTTATTAGTATTATAAAACAACCATTTTTCTATATATATATATTTGTAGAACTCTATAAACGAATTTAATGCACCAGGAAGTTCAAAGTTTGTCTTTATGTTGAGTACAAGAGCTGGTGGATTAGGTATTAATCTGGCCACTGCAGATATAGTTGTCATATATGACTCGGATTGGAATCCACAAGTAGATCTACAGGCTATGGTAAATACAATTTATTTTAAATGGATACTTTCTTGTATTTACATTTAGGGTTGTTCCTTTAAGACGGTACAAAACACTACAGGGAGATAACTCTGCAAATATCATGTGAACGTTTTAATCACGTATTATTGTTAAGAAAATCTTAAGCTTCTCAATGATCAAGATTAGTGTTTATCATACTACTAATATGCCTATATATCCATTTAAAATTTTCTGATAAAGTGTGTGGTTCAAGCTATTTGAAATTTTTATATTTTTTTTCAAAATTTTATGAAAATTTAGCGAGCCAAATTACTTTTAGTTGAGGTGTTTGGTACCACCTAAAAAGTGGGGTATACTGCTTCACCTCTATGAATATTTTTTGTCACATCTTTCTCAGGAACTACATTACAAGGATTTTTGAAATTTGGTTTCACTGTTTATACGAGTCAGCTGTACCATGTGATGCATTTTCAGATTCATCACTCAAAAACTTCCTGTTTACCTTATACTTTAAGCGGGGCAGGGGTATCATTAGTGAGCAGTAGTTATTTTTTTTTTTAAATTGCTAGTGATTATAGCTTCATACATAACATTTTGTGGATATTATACTACCACTACCATTTCTTAATTGTGGAAGATTCCTTAAAAGATCCAATAATGAGAATGATTACTACCATTATCTGATTTTTATGCCCCACCTACGATAGTAGAGGGGTATTATGTTTTCTGGTCTGTGCGTCCGTTCATCTGTCCGTTCGTCCGTTCATCCGTCCGTCTGTCCCGCTTCAGGTTAAAAGTTTTTGGTCAAGGTAGTTTTTGATGTAGTTACTTGAAACTAAGTACACATGTTCCCTATGACATGATCTTTCTAATTTAAATACCAAATTAGAGTTTTTACCCCAATTTCACGGTCCACTGAACATAAAAATGATAGTGCGAGTGGGGCATCCGTGTACTGTGGACACATTCTTTTTTTTTATCAAAATGTTTTCAGATGAATTGGATTTATTGTCTAGTGATTAATATGTGTTAAACCTTAATTAAGTTTGCTAGTAATTTTCAAGGAAGCATTTTAATGTAATGATTCACTGGTTTTTTTTAGGACAGAGCCCATCGTATTGGACAGATGAAACAAGTCAGAGTTTTTAGATTTATCGTAGAAAACTCTGTGGAAGAAAGAATTGTAGAGAGAGCTGAGATGAAACTGAGACTTGATAATGTTGTTATTCAGCAAGGTAAATAGATATTTTAGTTAGAATAAGTGAAAACATTAAGACATAATTATTTCCAGATGGTCAGTTCTGAGAGCATTGACTGTACTATAAAACTACACTACAAATCAGGTGAATTATCAATAAGAAGATGTGGTATGATTGCCAATGAGACAACCCTTCATCCAATAGGTCATTTCCTACTCCTCACTTTTACCATTTTTTGCGTTTTTTTAACTCAGATCTTTAGAACTTGACCTGGGGCCTCGGTGGCCGAGTGGTCTAAGTATTTACTACTGTTATCACTAGCCAGTCAACACTGAGGTTTTGAGTTCGAACCCCGCTCGTGCGGGTGCACTTGACTCCAATCTTTATTGACTAGGATTGTCAGTTTTCCTATCGAAGGTCAGTGGTTTTCTCCGGGCACTCCAGCTTCCACCACCAATAAAAACTGGCGGCCACGAAATAGCCCAAAAGCGGTGGTTAAAAGTGGTGTTAAAAACACAAAAAAATCAAAAAAATCAAAAATCAAATAGAACTTGACCTAAAGTTTGAAAACCTGTTGGGTGGTACACCTTCCGTTGTGGGGTTGTTTGTAAATAGTTATACCCATTTTTACTATTTTATATTTTCATATATGTAAATGTTAAGGATAGACCATTGCCCCTTTGTTATTAAAGACAAGAAATATTATGAGCAACACTGCCATTTGAGATGTTGATCCATTTTTTTTTATCATTAATCAGGGAGATTGCAGGATAGTGCTTCTGCTAAACTTGGGAAGGATGAAGTGCTGAACATGATCAGACATGGAGCCAGTCATGTTTTTGCCTCTAAAGAATCAGAAATTACAGATGATGACATTGATAGAATAATGGAAGAATCTGAAAAAAAGGTATTTTTAGAAATAAGATTTTTAATGTTTTTAATCTCATCCTTTCAAAGTTCTCTATTATAAATGTTTTCCGCTAAATATACCAAATATTCAGACTGCAAAAAGTATATATTAAATTATGGTGACTGAAAATCTTGATTATTTGAAAATTAATGCTTTTTATGTCTTTTATCTCTTCCTCTGAAAGTTATATATATTAAATTATGGTGACTGAAAATCTTAATTATTTGAAAATTAATACTTTTTATGTCTTTTATCTCTTCCTCTGAAAGTTCTCTGTTTAAACTGTTTGCTTTATAAATTAAAAACTATAAAACAATTTTCCCACATGCTGTAAAGCTCGCCCTTTCAAATTTATGACCCTAAGATATTTAGATTTTACACTTTCATACATTTAACACAAATGAAATAAACTGTTTTATAACAAAAACCAGTGATCAAAGTCATTTTTATTCAGCTTTTTACATTCTTGTTTACACTGTGCAAAAAGGGTGTTGAAATACCACTTTTCATTGGATAATTATTCATGAAGCCAATATTTTCTTGTTTTCGGTGGAAACAGAAAACCTTACAATGGCCAGAGTGGAGAATGACAAA